CTCTATCCAAGTCTCATTTCAAAGTGCCGTAAAAATTGAACGATTTTCTTGGCTGGAGTATCACCGAGGTAATGCCCTATCAGCTATGCGAGCTATTATCAGATCAAGATATCGAGCATTATGCTCCTCGGACCCGGAGCATATCCCCGTTATGATAGCCGAAACTTAAAACTAGTTTGTTTGTGCCCTTTCTGACGAATTTGAGCCCTTTATGGTCTCACGCTGGCGGGCAAAATGTGAGTGTGGGCAACAATGTACAACAACAAAGCGCTATGATAACCGAGTCCCTGAATCAGAGTCAACCCTGCGTTGCGCAGTTTTCAACGGCCACGTTGCGCAGTTTCGCCCGATTAGACACGTTCTCTCGCTCGAACATTACACTCGCATGCTCGAGCCGTCTGTGTCTCCGCCCATACAGCGTGCGTTGAGGATCTCTCGACGTGCCGTTGCGAACTGCGCAACGCAGGGTTGACTCTGCCCTGAATCCAAAAAAAACGAGAAATGGTCAAGGTAGATCAAATGCAATGAGTGCTCTGATCTCCAATGTCTTCTATAAATTATGAACATTTTGAGACCTTACCCTTTTGTCATCGCAACTAATGACACGTAGTTCGGCATGAAGGAAATACACTTCTCTTTCAAAATTGCATCAACCATTCTTCTCGAGCAAGAATCGACACTCATGAATGGAAACCATCTGAAATTTCTATGCCTTTACTGTAAATTGCCCTGGTAGCTGCAGCAGTAAATCTGGCAGTACATACAAAGTGCACTTTTCTTTTTCTGATGCTAAGGAGATCGTCAGTGTATCATCCGAAATATGCACAATACTTCGACGATGGGATTGATTGTTCAAGGCTGTAAATGGAACTCCTGCGGGTGCGCTCCCAAAAAGGAGTACTCTTTGATGTTTGTTAGACTGATCTTAAAAACGGGAACAATAAATAAAAACAAGCAATTAGTAGAAGCAGAACTGAACTGCAGAACTCTATAAGAACTTCCAACTAGAAACATCAACAGAAACTACCACGCGAACATAACATGACGTCTGAGCTGTACCTTCATGTCCACTTGTAGCCACTGCAATTTTCGTTGTGAACCTTCATGCGATATCCTTTCATCTTGGGCTGTAATGAAGCCTGTCCATGTCGCCGATCGCTTATGGTCGAGCAGCATCGGCACACTTGACGCTCGCGTTTAGTTAGCGAGTAGGAAATAACTACACTCCAGGGTAATCTATTTTTGAGGAGGATTGCTTCGCGTAGGCTAGAGCAGTGTCGATATTTGAGTAACGGGGACATCCGCTCTGAGGAGCTTGATCGAGACCAACCTCTCCTCAAGGGATGCGGTGACCACCAACGTCTTGTCACTTCAGAGAGCGTACTGTTGCCTATCGACGGACATAATTCGTTCCGGAATTGGGTGGCACAGCGTCTAAAACGGTGGTAGTGAAGCAGACGGCATCAGTGGGCGTGCTGGTCGCACATGCTTCAATCAACGCTAATTTTCTGCCAATGACGAAGTGAGATACCGTTTAGCTATGAACGCAATCTTTCAACATTGACCTTTTTAACTGCTGCTTATTTTATGGACTTGCTTGGGCAAGTTCGTTCGTATGTTTTCAAAACCAAGACGAAGAATTTTATTCAAAGTTTTCCGGACACCCTGATATGCATAGAAAGTCTCACAGAAATAATAACCAAGGATGACTTACGTGCATTTCGGTCTCATTCCCATACGAAGCACCATTGGTGTGCGCGTGAAGTATGGACATAGCTGAAAACCGTAGTATTTTTATACGTATAATATGTATACATATACCAGCCACTATATATTGACGGAATTGTTCTCCCGTTTTTTTCTAAATTCTTTCCTATTTAATTGCCCTGTCATATTCCCTATTGTTACAGCGTTTTTATTCATATGCCTACTGACAGAACATACTATGATAAATAAATAGATAAATAAATAAAACCATAATTAACTCGGGTACGCCGATTCTTTCAAGAGCTCTCTTTTCGATTATGGATTTGTGGTCCACCAAGTCGATTCTATGCTAGGCTAGGCTTCTCCGCTTCCACTTGTGGCCTCATTGAAGAACTACTAAGGAATAGGAACGCAAAACATTTGATGTCCTTTTGAAGGAATGTCCGAAATGTGGAATATTGGGTGGACCCATAACTTCTAGCCTATTTTTGTTCCAATTCAAAAATTTTTCGTGTAAAATTAGCTTCATAATGAAATAAGTTGATATGTTGAAGAACAAATCAGGAACTTCAGCCAAGATGTTTCAGCAGCTCAAATGAGCCACGAAGTAATTGGCTAGGAATAGAAATAGGTCGACGACAATACTCAACCATGATGCCTTGTAGCCATTTAAAGAAGAACGTTGCAAGGAGAGTGGTAGATAAGATCAGCTCCATGTTTGCCCTAGTCCTTGGTAGTGATTGGATACTGAGCTATTGGCTCAAGCACATCGGCAAAGACGATGGGAGCTGCAAAGTTCGATCTCATCATGGACCTCCAGCCACTTTGAACGAGGACCCCTTTCGCAACGAATAGGAAATGCATCCGGAGCTATTTGCAGTAAAGTGTAGCAAAAAGACGCAGCATGCGCTCCATGATGGCAACTTGAATACAATGGGTGTAGCAGATAGAACTCTCGATAGAAACAATGCATCAATTGACCAAGACCGAGAAGCGCACGTGACGACGTGCAGAAATTTCATCGTGCGAGCGTATAGACAAGATATTCCCAGCTGATCACCAGTGCAAATGAGTCAAGAGTCCACCAGATAACAACGCAAGGCACACCTGGTGGCTTACTTGCAGCCTGGACCCACCACCACAATCGAAGCCCGAGCTCTTTCATCAGATGATATTACCGCAGCTTGTTGGATTCGCTGGGCATCCCGTTTTGAGAACCGCTTCACGTTATGCAGACAAGCACAGCAGAGGTAACCGTGGAATAACTCCCCAAGACACGACGCAGTGCGGAAGAACGGTTCGAAACGTCTCAAAGTCTCCTTCCTCCAAATGAATGCCCAAAAATGAAAGCCTAAAGTCAAATTGAAAGGATAGCTCGCCATGTTTTGAGGGGAACTGGCTGGACCATGGTACCACATCTGACGTATAGCACTGACATTGCTCCATCGCGCTGTCTTATCTCCAGCGCACTGAAGCTGCAGCTTCCAGAGCAAGCTCGATGAAGACACCCATCCCAAAATCGACCTCTCCAAACTCTTCATCCTACAGCTTCACTCGTTCTGAGAGGAATGCATCCATTCGCTCTCTAGCAAATGGATGCATGTCAGTGATGGTGGTCACATTTTTGATCAATTGATTTTCTCAATCATAAAAAAACGAAGTGTAGAAATTCGGCCAGAAATTATGGGTCAGCCCAATAGATTATGGGTTGAACACAAGTGCCGCGCGATCGACTCGATGAAGAAATAAAAAAGGCCTGTATCAGAACCGAAATTACCACTCCGAAACTTCACTACAATTATAAAATTTTGCAGTGGGATATTTTATAAAATTATTTACTTTGAAGACTTTTATTCAAAAAATTGCGTTTTTACGGCGCAAGTAATTTTTCGCCACCCCGTATATGGGTGTAGTATATGTCATTTTATTAGGTCGTGAAGAAAGTTCTTGCGCTCTTTGGTGTTTCGTTTTTGAACGCTTTATTTTGTAAGGAGTCCAAGCAAGCTGATACTGTGCTATATGTCGTTTTCAAGAGCTTTTCTTGTTCTATCTAACAGTGGGCTAGCTATGTTCCTTATTGGTTGGTTGTCATTTTTTGAAGCCCTGAATACTGCATACTCCAAGACCAAATTTGCATGATTTCCTTTTTCTGGCTCGAAGCAGGCCAGCATGGAGAGGAAGCAGGTCAAGATATTATAGATGCACTTGGCTGAAACTCCCAGTTATGCTCCGAAGCAATTGTTCAAAAAGCTTTAAGGATGGCGAGAGCCCCAAAGATGATGAGGGTGGTGGTCGAACATTGCACAACGCCAACGATTAGCCGAACATTCTAGTTATGTTTGCACAGAACTATTGAGAGAGTTAACTGATTCTGCACCTGCATTGTGTTTCCTTGTTGTACGGGAAGAACGGGAAAGTCCCAAAAATTTAAATAGGGCGTGCCGCGACAACGCACCATTTTGAAGGGTCATTCGCCGTTTTCTAGCTCGTTTTATGCCATGAGAACGACTTGATCTTCCAATTATTTGCGACGTACGATAAAGAACGGATTCTTTGCTACTGCGTACGAAATTTTGGTGAAGTGATCGACCGCGATCAGGCTCTACAAACTTAGCAATGTGAAACTTCACTAAAAAAAGACTAAGGTGACTTTCATGAGGTCAGCGGCTAGTCTAGTTCTTCGGAACCAGGTGGAACAGTTAATGTAGAAGAAGTGCTCTTGATAATGTGTCAAATTACTTCAAGAACCCTAGCACATATGCTGGATATTCTCATTATAAAGGAACCGGCTCGCTCACGGCAAGTAGCTCGGACGCACATCGCACAACTAATCTTGCAGAAGTTGAACCAGCTGGACCACGAAGTAGTGCTTACTTTTTCTAATTCGGTAAACCTTTGTCTATAATGTGTCACCTTCTCGATAATTTAGATAGCTTCTCCAAAGAGTTATGCTTCAAAACCCAACATGATGCGGAAACGACCTCCGCCGGGTTCATCGTCTCTAGAGCTCCAGTATTCCGCACGACCGGGCAGATTCAACGCAACTTTATTGGTTTTATTGCTTGTGGATTCTAACAGTCTTTACTAGGATCAAAAAGGTTTCGAGCCGAAATACATGCACTGAAAATCAAGGTCGAAAAGCGCAAGAACTTTCTTCACGACCTAATAAATGGCCGAATTGACCAAATCACCTTTCCTTGGAATATTGCACGCGAATCAGCACACTCAATCAAAATTCGATTTATAGAACGTGTGGTGCCTAGGGTGAGCCAAGATTCAAACCGTTGATTTACCGTGGTACAGACGATGCCTTCAAGACCACGATCTCTTAACTCCATTTGAAGACATTCCATGATTCCGCGGACAGCAAATTTGGTAGGGCTAAACTGAAATACGTCAAGAAGGTTTGCAAGATTACTATAATAAATAATACTATTAGGTTGTCCCATAATTAGTGAATCACTACATTTATTGCTATCAAAATTCCAAAAGAAAGTCCTCATGGCGTCAGGCATACTTTGCCATTTAGTACCCACATTGTCCTACCTAAGCAAATAGTGAGCCCATTCAAATGTTGCCTTCCGCGGCTGAAACTTCAAGTTTTCTGGAACATTTTGCGAATCACGATATGAAATCGCCATGCCCCTTCCGGTCCTCGTACCAGCGAAAGACAACCTAGTCTGGGTCATAACACCCTTCTTCAAGAAAAATTTCGCCTCAATTGACATGACCTCAGAGCCGAATTCCGATTTTTCTTTTATCAATAGCTCCTGGAATTCTAAAGAACAGACAGCGACTAGATCCCCATGTATAGGCACTAGTTTGTAGATGATTGAGGTGTATGAGCAAGCACTTCATATTAAAAGGAAAAAATTGAAAAATCCTCAAAGTGATTCACTAATTATGCCCAACTTGATATGTACAAATGGGGTTCTTGCAACATACGGGGCATTGTGATGGCAATGCATTCAAAGTCGCATAAACAGTTTTTTTTTGTTAAAAACGGGAATAAGTCATACGCGGGGGATCAGTGACTCTAGAATGCGTGAGCAAATTTCATTTTATCTGGAGCTCCTCCCCCAGCTATACTGAGCTCTAGAGGATGCCCCCGTATGTGATAGCTCCCTCCATACTTCTCATTTCATCAGCTACAAATGAGTTCATACTAAATTCTCCGATCAGTGTCTTATTTGCTAATTAAAAATCGTAGCTATTCAGGGGAGCTATTCTGTGAAGGAAACCTGAAAACAGTTCTCGGGCCACTCTTTCTGGAAAATAGGTCGGTCAATGTGCTCCCAGCGTAGTGTTTTCTTATAAGAGCACGAAGGGCGATATTATGTCTTCCACAGCGAGCGTCGAGTCGAGCGGCACCACTTGACGTGCCTGGCACGCAGAGATCTTCTACACTATAAACCATGGCGGAGTAGCATAAGCATGACGGTCAACGCTATACTACTGGGGGCATGGTAAAAAAAAACCCGCTATATTGACATTACTGCTGATAAAATTTCACACAGGTAGGTTATCGACATTCACGTAAAATGAGCTGGACGTGTAAACCTAAATTTGGAGTGCAAGTTTCTGCATAGTTTCTGCAGTTTCTTTTCGTGTGTTTGAGCGGAAACTGATTGATAATCTCATTAACTCTCTCTATCGGTCTGTTATAACTGTCATCAAAAACACCTACCCTGTAAACGGTTAAAGAAAATAGCGACAAGACAATATGGACATTACAGCACATAGCGCAGGATGGTTAAAGGTGCTTGCCCCATTCGAATTCGCATTTTTCTGAACGCAGCGACAAGAGCGAAGTAAGGCAGCTTTGTAAGCGGTCAAGCACACCTCCAGGAATCACATATAAATGGGAAAGAAAATACATAAAGTTTGGTGCAGATAGTGTTAACATCTTGGTTCAATCCTACCGATCTTGCTATTCTTCCTAAAATAAAGAAAAATTTCAGATCAATCCTTACCAGTATGCAAGACCAAAAGTTTCTCCGGAAAATCCTGCGATGGATGATACGGCTACAATATGTCCGGAGTTTCGTTGTTCCATTGGCTCAATGAAAGCTCGAATTGTCTGAAATGGCGAAGAAACAATGTGCTATGTAGAGCTCTTCTACTGCTGCTTTCCACCTCTTCCAGCTTCATGTGAGCGAGGTGGTTCAGGCGACAGCACTATACAATAGTACTATAAATACATATGTAAGAGTCATACCTCTCCCGCACATATTCATACTATGAGTCAAGTATGAGTTGAGTCTAGGCTGAACAGTCCTCACCACCACTCCCATATTCATTCGTTATTTACGCCCTAATAGTCCTTCATACGTCCTGAGTTTTTTGATTGATCGTATACTTTTTTATGCCTTCACACGAACCAAGTAATTTTTCGGCGGCTCGATTCATTTCCAAACCCCAGAAACGCGACGTGGGACGATGTGACCCAATAGTGGATCACACGCAAAATGGAGCTCCTTACGTGGCCAACTAGCGTGAAACGAGCGCTAGTCAAGATATTAATAGTTCTTTCCAGTAACAGATCTCAAATACTGCATTTATTAAGCCGGACTGCTTCATAATTTCCTCAATCGATATTTTAATGGGTAACAACTCACATTTATGGTACCTAAAATGTTGACAGCTATTGAATGTTGAAGCTGATCAACCGTCAGATCCTTGAAAAGCGCGAAAGTGAGCACGGCAGCATTGCATACTACGATGTCTACTTTTCCTGAAAACTTTTAAGGTTTCCATGCAAAGGGATGAAAAACGAAACAAAAAAAAGAATAAAAAATGATACTAATCATATGAATGGGTTTGTAATCTGTCCTAAAACGATGCAATAATTGTAAAAATAAAAAAATGCAATATCATACAATTCGGTTAAAGGACAATACTGTCAGTCGGCGTTGACCATCACACCATCCCATAGAATAAAATGATGTCGGTAAACAACATCTTCCTCGGAGTATTTATGACAAAGTTCTGAGCTTCCGATTGTAATGGAACCCTTGCGCTAAAATATGGACTGAGGCGCGTACGCAGAGCATGCACCCACTTAATGCCACGACACAACAAGGCTGAAGAGCTTAGATCCTAGGATGCATTAAGGGTCCAACCTGCTTCTTTGCTTCGGTGCTACTGGAAAGAAGGTTTTATTCCGGGTTCGTCGGAAGTTTCTTCCTGTCTTGATTAATTATCACCTTACAATTTACACCTGCACTAACACTTTCAAGCCCCAATAACGCACCATTTCGATCCCGGCCATTGCCTTTGAGTGCCCTAGTTAGCAATAGCGATTATTTTTAGCGATAAAGCCATTTGGCACCAGCTGGATGCGTTTCGAATAGCGCACAACCACGCGCCATATGGGTACCGCGCCAAAAATTTGTGGCCGAAAATTTCAATCCAAGCTGATGCCATGAAAGTTATGCTGAAATTAGATGACATAACTGTTTTCACGGCGACCACCAATGTCTGTAGGGTTGACCAAAATCAACCTTTCTATTCTGCTTCACTTTTGATGGGGTTGTCAGTGCATGAGTAGCGAAACCAAAACAGAAATTTGCCATAGGCTGGTGTCAGAGTCCGCGATCCGTCGTGCGTTTTGCGGACTCAGACCAAAATTATTACATTACAATAAAATCATTCTAAAATAAATAAATAAAATATAAAATATATACAATAAATAGAATACTCTAAAATACAAAATGAAATTATAAAATTACAATACAAGTGAGCCCGATTAATACTGCTTGGTGCTCTCTAATCCCGCCGCCAATTCTGCTCGATGGTCATGGTCTAATGACGACTGTTCATGATTCTACTTGTTTCATATCCAGTGTTTCAAATGCTCAAAATGAGGCACTTGCAATTTTTACGATTTAAAATCAATATCACCAGAATCGAAGCTGAGGAGGAGACACTCGAGAAAAATAATCACTTCATTGTATAAACCCCAACTTTGGTGTGTCACTTTGTCGGTGTGTGTGTGTCTGTCGTTCTGTCCATCCGTACCAACCGCTAACAGGACCGTGGAGTTCGAAGTGCTACACTTCGTCATGCTGATGTCACGACTATGATAACACCCACAGCGGCTGCATAAGCACCGATCAAGCACACTCACTTTCATTCTAATACATGCATGGTGCTGCAGTAGCAGCTGGAGGGGGGAGGTGGAGGTGTAGAAGGGAGGGGGCAGGAACAGGGAGGAGAGGGATGGGAGAGAGGGAGAAAGAGAGAGGGAAGGAGGGGGAGAGGAGAAAGGGAGGGAGGACACGGTGCTGGCGTGGCAGCCGGAGGGGCAAGAGGGAGGAGTAGAGGAGGGGGGGGGGTTGGGAGAGGATGCAGTGAAAAACAACCACTTTCAAGAAAAGGGCTACATCCATGTTTACGTATTACTCTAAGGTGATGTTGTGATTCTGATGATACCCACAACGGCTACATAAACGCCGATCGCACACTCGCTCTTACTCTATCATACACAAGTGGAAGGACCACAGGGGAAGACATGAAGCTAACGCAAGGAAGCAACGTCCGGGCGGTCGACGAGGATAAGTAGGGAAGCAGGAAAAGCAAGCCCTAACAGATTGAAGGTCAATTAGATATTAAGATGTTAAGCTAAGCTCAGGTCACATTTACCAAATTGCCCTCTACTGTATAATACACCTCTTTTCGTGCATATGTGCCTCCCCCGCTGCCCTAGGTATGGTGTCATAAGCGGATGGAATTACAGCAAAGGTGTGGAGCTGTGAAGCTAGCAGGGAAGAGCGGTACCGGCGGTTGCTGGGGGACCAATCTGGTTGAATTATTGTACATAATGCGAAAGAAGAGGAGAGTACAATACCCATAAAGAGAAGGCGATTCTAAAAACGGCAAAACAAACAGCAAGGTAAGCATTTCAGTTAGCAGGGCAGAATACCACCGAATCCGCTCTCGTGAAGATGTAAGTGGTATTCCGTACGGTAGCAGAACATGAACTGGAGAAAATTACGAAAAAAGGAGGCAAGGTGAAATTAGTAAAGAAAAATGGAAGGTATCGATTGCATAAGACATGACAATTTAGACATTCTTCGACAGAGTTGTAATGTAGAGATCGCGCACAAACCGTGTTCCTGTTCGATGTCTTTCGCAGTTTTTTGAACCTCTTCATCATTGCTTATGTCACACTGGTAAGCGTAGGCGTGGCCACCATTACTCACTATTGAAGTGACCGTTTCTTGAGCGCCACTCTGAAATTTTGGCTGACAGTGACCTAATTGTGTCAGCAGAGGAAATATGAATGTGTGAAACTGACAAGGTTGACATCCAGTATAACTGTCCTTGCTCGTTTTTCAAGGGACAAAATTTGCGCCATGCGTCTGCCTAATCCGGAACCACCACCGGTTATAACAATTAATTGCTTGTCGACATTCTATAAAACCAAAAAGTCGGTATTCGAATAATCTCGCTCTACGTTATAAAAATAGCGGTACAAAAGGAAAAACCATCATAGCGGCTAGGTAGGTATACCTTTTGATTCAGTGTAATCCACCTTATAATATCCTTGGGGATATCGACAAGTAGTAGATGGATTAAGATGCCAATAGTGCTCAGTAGTTTGAATGACCATTGATTATACATCAGCATACCGTGACTTGACAGGTTTCTGAACCTTCATTTAATGAATTGTGGCGTTATATTTCATGAATTTAATACGATTGAGATACAACGATTGTGAGAGAGGAACGATAAGATCAGCAGGGATTCCCGAGTGTCGTGGTACACGAGCACTCGGATAGAGGTCAAGGCCATCAGACCACCTCGTGGTTGTTAAACCATTCACATCACACTAACCAAGTCAATTATAAATGAATTTTCAAAACCATTCGATGACTATAAGTGAAGTTTCCATGTGGGAGACAATTGCTGTATCAAGTGACTTATCCATTACCACGAGTTTTTTTTAATTGGTGCATCACAAAAACTCAGGAATGTTTACTCTTCTAGTGATAAAATTGCGCTTCAGTTTAGGTTCCTGTCGTATGTGAAGCATGTTGATTTACCTTTATACATGTATGACACATTTATTTATCCACTATTATTTATTTATTTATTTATTTACACATTTACCTATTTATCAAAACGCTGACTGCGGCGCGTTATATGTATTTGTCTGTCTGTCTGTAAGTGAGTTATAAGGCAGGTAATGGAATAAAGAGCGGGCTAACAAATCTGGGTAGTTTCGCTATCGTCGCTAAATCGTGCTGTGTCTGAAAAATCTGCTGCTAATCTTGTGCTATCAATCTTTTGCAATGGCATGATTGTGATAACATCTGACGGCTATACAGGGTGTCTCATAAATATTAAACACTTTTCTTTACCTGTAATTCTCTCGAAGTTAATGTATCTTCAAAATAAACAAATTTTTGACGATACATTTACATATTGAGAGGAATGACATTCATTCGATATGTTCCCTGTTGCTGCGAAAATGGCTCCCAATCAGAGTCACCCTGCGTTGCGCAGTTTGCTCAACGCCACGTTGCGCAGTTCGTCCGATAGACACGTTCTCTTCGCGCGAAACTTCACACTCGCGTGCTCGAGCCGTCTGCGTCTCCGCCCATACAGCGTGCGTTGAGGATCTCTCAACGTGCCGTTGCGAAATGCGCAACGCAGGGTTGACTCTGCTCCCAATTGTTCGAACGCAACACTGCTGTGGCCCGCATGGCATCCTGGGGTACTCTTTTCCAATGTTGCAGGGAAAAGTGTGGTTTTTTATTTTTATATTTTTTCTCACGTTTTTTGTTGTGTCGGATGTTCGATTCAGTGTTTTTCAAACTGGCTTTTACCACATGTGTCAACTCTATAATAAACATATATATGCATATATAAATATGTATATATGAGGCTTTTGTTCTAGGATTTGAAATCGGGAAGAGTAGCTTGACAATGCTTCTAAACAACTTTCGGCTCCTCTGCAGAAGCTGGGTTATATCGAAAGGAACATCTTTCTTCACGAAGTGGCTAGATACCTTAGTAACAGTTGGTGCTCGCTTAGCTAGGTCCAATATTGAGTTACATTCCCTTTCAAACAGGCGATGGTGTTTAGCTACCGATAGTTGAGGCAGCTGAGACCTTGTCCATATCATGATGAGGTTCGGCTGCTCCTTGATGCAAATCTTTCTTCCTTTTTCATTGGCTTCCTCAGGACCTTATGGGAAAATCCTCGAAGTTTGAAGCTTGCGGCTTCGTTCCGCAGCGAGAATTTCGCCGTCGAAGAAAATGGTGCCTACCTGATAGCCTCTTTCGGCCCCCGGCACCAGCCCTTCACAGTTTTGTCTTCACTCTATGAACTTTAGGCGCACCGTGAGATGCAGGCCGAACGGTAAGGCGTGGAGTTTGGCATGGCTATTCACAAGAGGATTGATTAATAAAAAGGTCTGTAAGTCTCGAAGGAAGAGCTATAAGATCCACAGAATTTAAGCTTAAAATGTGGGGCATTATTCATAGGACACCCTGTATACACCTACTTAGCACGCTGTCTGTCATTCCACATGGTGTTGTAGTGGCAGCTGGAGAGCAGTGAAGGGAGGAGGGCAGAATAAGGAGAGGAAGAGGAGTTTCTTCCCCAACAGAATAAGCAGCAATTGAGTATTGTGATGTTGTTATAGCGTCACATCATGATATTTATCATGACCTCTACAATGGCCTTTTTGTGCATACGCGCACGGCCTGCAAGAAGTTTTAGCCACAAGTGGGAGGGAGCACAGCAGAAAGCACAAGGCTTATAACGTCTTCTTCTGCTGCTTTCTTGAGCAACCATAACGGCTACTTCCATTACTCACCTCAATTCTTTCCAAATTCGTAAAGTGTTGGCACATCATATTCATTCCCTCTTTAAAAAGCTACACACTACTGAATGAGCAGCGTTGAACCGTTATTGATGTTTGAAGTCATTTTTAGCGTTAATACACTGAGGCATTTACCTCTCTATGAGAATTTTTCCGTGCATTCCTGAGCCTGGCGATCGCCTTGGCAGTGATCAGTTCAAATGCCTCAATGAGTATCTGTGATCGTTCGACATTCAAAAAACTGGTTTTCGATTCCTGCAGTGACCACTGACACTTGCTGAGAAACGATCACATTCATCAGACTTTTAGTTCATGGTATTCGGTCTGTTCTTTGTTGCTAACATGTTCTAATAAATGCCCCAAATTAGTTTTGGTCGCTGCAAAGTGCTTTTCCTACCAATGAAGTAGTTATTGTTACTGGAAGGAAGAGATAGGGCCGGATTGATGCAGTGGGATCATCACCGTCGAAGGACAAATATGAAGGATCGAGTCGATGCTGTGCAGGGCCAGAGGATTTCTAATAACAATGCTCTTCCTCCCACATAAAATCTTCGTGATTCAGAGGCGTCCGCGTAGCAATTCTTGGTTACTTCAGAGTTTTATCACGACACAAGCTGAAGAATCCAGAATTCAAACGTTTTCCAAGGGATATTTTATCTTTCAAATGAGTCCTCGATTTGAAGGGATCTGAAGCACACGGCGCATCCCGGAGTGGACCCAGTTAGTTGTGCGCGCTTCAACTACGGCCCTCTGGAAGAAGAATCTCAATCAGGAAAAATTAAGAGGTTTCTGATTGGGTTCGTGTGAATTTACAAGAAGGAGTCCACAACCCAGCAAGAAATACAGCCTTCAGCGTCAAATTCATAAGCATGTAACATTTAAAGTTGAGACACGCTAAACAATTCCACAGTTCTTGGGAAGAGAAAACCACGAAGATTCTGTATTTGCTCCTACTTTAGTATATGTATAAACTTTTGAGGCGCCCATGTCGTTGGTGGGGGGGGGGGTACGTGACTGTGACTTAACTTTTTGTAAGTCTGATACCGATTAGGAAGAGCTCATTACAAAACTTCCAAGTCTGCTATTAGATTGAGAATTCGTCATATCTGAAGAAAGTTATAATCATTTGAATATGTGTTCAAATTTCAATGTAGATAAGTTGCTCCAAGGCCAACGCAAAAGATCACTCAGCACCCAGCTGGCTAAGGCGCTTACAAGGCTTCTTTCAGCTGAAAGGGGGACGTGTAAATTGAGAGGATATCATGTGCAGTACTAAAATTTGGTAAGCCTTCCAAAGGAAATAAATAAAAAAGAGGTGTTGCCAAAGTATGTATTTTTAGTGAGTAGATTGTCGCTTTTTGCTCCGTTGCTCGCTTGGTAGGACTCATAATAAGACTCTTTCTTTGAATTTTTCACTTTTGTACTTCCTAAACGATTTTTCTGGTGGACGGGGGGTTAGCGGGGCTTTTTTCAGATCAGTTTTGGGGGAGACTTAAACAATCTTTTCATAGTTCGGCTTTTGAAGAGGGTTGTTTCATGGACTCCGGCCTTTGGAGGAGAGGTGGGGGGAGGGGATCATATTTCGAAATTCTCTTCGACGGTTGGCTTCTGCCTGGCTCCAGGCTGGAACGATTACTTCAGGCCTTCTTGGGCTCATCGGTGAAGGAAGATGACGTCATATTTTGAGGACGGTGAGGGCCGTTGAAGAGGGTTTACTTCTACCCATAGTAGCACATTTAGAAGATGTTTTGCCGTAGAACTTTCATCAGCAGCGGCACCCTATGCGATGAAAATTCGAAGATGTGCGCCATGGGGGAATGTCTCTCCTTTTTTGGCCACCCCTGTACATCAATTTCACTTCTCGATTTCCCTTGAGTTTATCTTACTGCCTGCCTCGGGGGATAAGTTACTTTTCTGATCTATTATAATTTAATTGAGCTAAACAAATACTTTAAAAATGCCTTAACTTGAGCTATACTCCACAGCCAACACATGGTTGAGACGAGTACTTTGTTCTTCACTCTAGTCAGAAAAAATTAAAAGTTGTGATAAAAACCATAAAATCATCGGACCCTTACGCTAAGCTGACGCCAAATCAAAAACTTCTACGCCGACTGTCCGAGTTGTAAACCGCACTGCTTTACGCCTTCATAATAAACTTCCAGAAAGTCGTGAAGTCCCCGTCAGTATACACATTCCCACTTGTTTTGCCTCAATCGTTTATGAGGCCGTAAGGCGATCAAGGTCAAGCATAGCGCTGCGGGAAGTTTTCAAGGCAGTTGTGTTTGTTTGACTTAACCACCCGACTATGGGTGTTCCCAAATGTAAGGCCATGAAGGGGTATGGTACAGAGAGACAGATTTGAAACTGAAGTTATTTGAACAACTGGACATCTACTTGCAAGTGATTATGAATTAGTACGATCTTCCTTATTTCACAATAATCCAATCTCTTCAAAGACCACATGCATGGAACAAGTGCCTCGAGGCGCAGAAACCATAGGAGAAAGTGATCTCACGCACAATCATCCGGAGTTCAGTAGCACCACAGTAATGATTTGTGAATGGAACTCGGATGCATCTCGAGTGATTCATGGTTGAAAGCAAGAGATGAACTCTAAATGCACCATACACCTCATAACTTGTACAGCAATAGATATGCAAGTACAAAACATCATAAGCACAATATAGGGTCAACTTGGATTTGGCGGAATAATTCCTCACCCGACTTTCACCAAATTAATTAGAAGTCAATCGAAAAAAAAACGGTGTTTTAACAGGACCACACTAAAAACCTAAGATGGTTCAACATTTACCCAGCCCAGTATTCTTTTGCTAGCCCTACCGAGGTAATGCCGGTGTAGAGGCTGTTAAGGAATTGCAACACATGGGAACGTGAGGTATGCTCCCCCGAAGGATGGGGGCGAAAATTCCTTAGAATTTTCTCTGTCTTCTCAAATTCAATATATGTATGTAAGTTAAAGTAAACATGCACTGAAAATGAAGAAACGGTATAGTTAAAAGCAAAAAAAAATTTAAAGGGATTTCCGTCCTCCAACCATTTGGAGAAGCATACCTTTCGGCCCATGGTAGATTCATATAACAAAGAAAACTCGGGACTTTACACAATTTCAGACACCGAATAGAACAGAAATACAGGATACTGGCTAGGTTTGAAAGACCCCATGTGTTCTTGTTCCGTGAAAGCACAACCTCAGTATGATGGTTGTACTATAGTGTATGTTCCAAATAGCAGCAAATGTCAATTTCCTTGTAAAAGAGTGTACACAGGTCGGTGTGACATTAAATGCACTATTGCCCTTAGAGGCTCAACCCAGCATCGCTCAGTAGAGTGAATCGTCCGCATGGGTGGGATAGAGGTGTTCATGAAGTTCGCAAATGTTCCATTCTTCCGGCTGTGAAGTGAGCAACAGGGCCTTGCAGACCGCTCTGACTACTTCCACTGTTACTCGCCCACAGCAAGCTGGTGTCAAGCGCTCTTCCTCCATTCATGGGGTTCTCTCGCCTATCATTTGTACTCCATGCTCGGACTGTCGTTGCGTCGTTGCCTTGCCATGACAAAGAGCAAGGCCGTTCAAGAGTCGGGTGCTTTTCTGCCTTCGGCACAAGAGTTAATTCCACGTCCTTCAGGGACGCGTTTTCGTTTTACTTCACCGCCAAGCCACTTTGTATCGGTGCTCCCATTTTCACATGTGCAACAACCACATCAGTTCTTATTAAGGTGTACCTTTAAAGCGGCCCATCTGATTGTGAAAAGATCCAAGCGAGAAAGTTGCCTTCAATGTAGGGCTGGTGAAACCATATATAATTTTTTGCAAATTTTTGAGAAGAAACTCTTCAAAAACCTTAATGAAGCGCTGTCGCGGGCCGCAAGCCCTCCCTCACATTAAAAAATACAAACACGCTAATCTTACATCAACAATCAATCTAAATGATACATTGGAAAACGAAAACGCCCTCACAAGACTAACTTAAGAAAAATCCGAGTGCCACATTTGTGGTTGGCCTCGAGGAACCTGTAATACCCTACAGGCCGAAGGCAGAAGTTCACGTGACACCTGAGTGGGAGAGGCCTTGACTTTCCTGCCTGCTTAGAAAATTCTTTTTTGAAAACTTCGATGTGTATCAGCACTCCGTCAGACGTCTTTACGATAGTGCCAGGATAACAGCTTTTGAGAGTCGATCGTGTTTCTCCTCCAAAAAACGGCTGGTGCGCCACGGTTTAATCACACGAGCCTCAAGCGAGCAAAAATTCCATTGCACCAAAACGGACTACTTTTGCAAGGGTTGTGTCGACAAGTATTTTGAGTGTGGTGACTCTCATTTCATTTCATGCAATCGTGTTTAGGAGAGCTATGATGTACACTGCGACGCACAATTATAGTTCCACCTACAAATATCTCAAAAACTTGAATCTGGGGATGTTTTTGGAAAAGGCTCTACAGATAAATTGTGACACATATAAACACGGATCTGAATATTAACACTTAAATCCAGCTCGAAGAAGCAACAATTTTTTATCCTTATTTTTTCGAAAATATCCGCTTTAGCTTCTCCGCTGCATTTTGCTTTTACCCAATCAAAATTTGGAATTATTAACAAGTCAAGTTCCATAGCTTACAGAGGCAAAACCCCTGTCACACTTCCGTAGAAGGGAAATCCTAGCAAAAGAGACGCAGGAATTGTCAAAGTATCAGCTCCAGTGGAATTTGTCGGGATGACTTCATAACGAACAAATTTTTCAAGGATGCTACAGGATATGACTGGGAGGAACCCTGATTACTATCCGACTGAGATAAGCGCCGTATCGTGAGAAAATGATATCCAGGCGGGTGCTGAAATTGTAGGTGGAACAATAATTATGCGTCGCAGTGTATTTAAACATCCGAGATGGCGGATAATTTTTACTGGCCCCATAATCATGAGCTTCGAACGAATTGTTGAATCTTCCTGCCATGGTCCAGTGAATGTGAGGTAATATCTTTATTTCTTTTTGAATACATGAGCAAATATTCAATATGTTTGAATATTCAAGTACAATGGAATGCAAAATATAAAACAACGAATCCTTTTCATGGTATCCACACTCAGTAGCTGTAAAAGTGTCGTGTTTTTTGTTGAAATTCGCACGTTTCAGGAGTAGCAACATAGCGATTGTCTAGATGTAGATCAGTCGACAACATAGGCTAAATGCATTAACTATAAATCGCTAATGCAATATTACATCTCCATAACACCATTTGTTAAAAAGCTGAACTCGAATTGTCTGAAATCTGCGGTAGTACGTGGTTTGAATTCCGATAATTAAAGCGAGGAATCGCGATATTATAGGTACGAGCTCACAGTGCATGTGGGAATGCTGAATAAAGCTCCAGTGGCGACAAACAGCAGAGAAATCCGTCGAGGACGCGCAAAATGACAACACTTCCTATTCCCTTGAACTCCGATAATGGACGAGTTACCAACCAACTAAGAGGTGGCTCGCATATGTTCAACCGGTACCACCATCATACACCATCATGGAGAAGCTATAGTATATGCGCTCAATGTGGAATACCATATCCAAAAGATAAGAAATAGTGCTGCTAGCAATGCACTGATGGGCGGAGCAAGGCGAAGGAGGCGGAGCTCGGAAACGAATAGCAGCCCGGGGGCGCTGAACTAGCGCAACTATGCCACTTTCTTCGGCTCCTGGCTACTGCTTCCATCAGCGCATGCACTCCCGTACTTGCGCATACAGCTCATCGTAATTCTCGCTTCGAGCGTCATAGGAATCGAAACAATTTGAAGTCTCGAAAGCTCTCAAAAATGGTTCAGCGACTCTTTCCGCTATCTAGGAAGGTATAGGGTGAACTTGGTCAACTGAAATGGTGTGTACGTTCCGATGCGCGTTCTGAAACGCTGAGCTCAAATCTGCCTTCCTTATCAGCTAGCCCCCGCTCATATAATAGAAAAAGTTTGAAAAAGAAAGCAATATTAGAAAGCTGTCGTAAGAATGTCAAAAGCCGGCATATTTAGATTATTAAAAACCTTACAAAAACACTTAAAATAACTGTGCGCCACCATGTGGCGCACGTCGTCCGCTATATTAGGCATAGACCTGCGAATCGCGCGATTCGCTAGCGTCTGCGGTCGCGTCGCGGCCAGTGAATCACTCAATTGGCTGGTACCGCAACGCGACCGCGGACACTAGCGAATCGCGCGATTGGCAGTCTGACATCGGCCTTACCATGTGCTGTGAATTCGAAAGTCACCTGTTCATGGAAGCAATTCGTGTCCATTTGAGAATCACAACGAGGATCCAACTTTGAAGACATATTAGAACCGGTAAAGGCGAAAGTTGTAGCAAGAAGGCCTCCAAGTGATGCAAACACTAGCAGCAGTAGAGCTATACATGTGAGATAGAAGGAATATCCGTAATTTTTCTGAAATATTTTAGATTGGTATTACAACAACAGGCTAGCACAGCGAATGCCAGACAAGGCTTCTTGAATCTTGAACGTTGTACCCACAGAAGCACCTTGCTTTATGAAATTTGTGCCCGGAAGTAACTCGGAGGCTGGTTCATTTGCACGGATTTTCAGCGCAAGCGCTTCTAGGAGGTGCGCATCATAGGGGAGAAATTCGGCACTATTGAGCTATTACAACCCCAGAGGGGGGAGAATGGATCAAAAAAATTTTTTCGCTGAAACTTGCGCTAGGGGGTTATCGAGGCTCCTGATCACGAATATGACCTTAGTTTCTGGCGCTGGCGCCAAATTCGCGCCAAGGGTGTTCTCACCAAACTCGCTGTAAACGTGTGGATAGGGGTTATCGTGGCGCCTGATCACGAATATGACCTTAGTTTTGGCTCAATTTCTCTAGGTGACGCTAATAGATGTCATCTAGGCGCTCATCCAGTAAGGGGGGGCATCAAGTGGCTGCCCTCACCCCCCACCCCCCCCGAACTGGCTTCACTCCCCCTGGCTCACGGGGTCCCGTACTTCGAGAAACCTGTGTGCCAGGGGGCTGTGCTAGCGCAAGTTTCACCAAAAAAAATTTTTTATCCATCTCACCCCCTCTGGGGTTGTAATAGCTCAATAGTGCCGAACAGTCGATAAGAGAAACTGTGAAAATTTGAGTTGTGTCCACACAGATATAAGGAGACTGGAGAAGAACTGCTTTTCGAAGCAGCGACAGTGGCAGCGTGTTGCGGTTGGCGTGGCGGAGAAAACTAGCGATACTACCGATTCTTCGAGGAAAATATTTACTAGTGGAACAGAAAAGTTCTTGTGCACGCTCATACTCTTCAACCTCACTGTAGAAGAGATTCTGAGATCTCTGGGAAGAGAAAGAACCGCCAGGAAGACATTGTTTTTGAAGGATTTCATAGTTAGGGGCAGCGGCGTTGCAGCGAGTACGTCTCTTCACTTTCGGTATACTCATCAACTTCTCAACTATTCAGCTCAAGTGACAAGGCTACGTTCCAAGTAAGGGACTACGAATTGAATGATTTCTGACCTTCCGATGATTTTTGAAAATGACAAATCTCATATCGTGAAGCATGTTGATCACATCAACATGCTTCACGAGTACAGTACATCGAGCGTAGTTCTCGCGATTTCTCTAACAAAAAACCCTTACCCACAGCCCAAAATTCAGGCTACTTGGTTGAAGGATGAGGACCTATAGAAGAAAAAAAAACGGAGTTGAATTGGGCAAAATCTAAACACTTTAATGTTGTCTAGTCAGTTCCGGTATTGGTGAGGTGCCTCTGCGAACAACGATTCCACCATTTCGCGTCAGAATCTGAATGTTTAGAGCTTAGGGCAGAGATTTTGAAGTGCTTGGAAGGTGCAGTCGTTATCCTTCTAGAAGTTTTATTAATGAAGATGTCAACTCCTGAAACAGAAATGTTATCGCGTGCGCTCATGCCTTTCTCACACTTTGGAAGACTTTAAATGAATTGATGAAGGTTTTCTTCTCACGTTGTCGCCTGACTGCTGAGGAGGGCTCAGATGACTGGTGGCAAGCGGCGCCAATTCCCATGCATACGATTCGGGGTCAAATCTTGAATAGAGCCTTGCCCATACCAACCAAGCCTTTCACCTCTACGGTGTTGGTCAATCGGTATCAGATTTGTCTGGGAGAATTAATCCTCTGAATCGTAAATCAACTAGCCCACGGAAGTTATTTTAGGTTATATGACATGCAAGTTCCAGTCCTTAATGGAAGTAGGATGCGTGGCGCGTTCCAGAAAGAGATTGCTCAGTTGGAACGCTCTATCTTTTATATAATATTTTTACCTGAGAAGATCTTTGCTGTGGTTCCTCTGACGGAACGACAATAAAACAAGGATGTACTGATGACGGAATAAAAATGATTTCCTTACAGAATATTGTCTCTTTGTTTACATTCTCATTGTTCGAGAGGCAACAATGGTATTTGGCCTTTGTTTCGAAACGTATGGAGTTTTCCATTCAGAAGTCGACGTTTCTTCCAAGTTTTCAACTGTTTGTTCCGGTTCATTTGTTCCTTACAAAGTCATTTACCTCGAAGGTATTCTTCACTCCGATCAGGTATTTTGATTCCAGCATCTCTGCATTAACAACAAACGTCATCAGCGAAATAGCCAGAATAAGAACTGAAGATAGGAAAATAGGGACGGAAAAGTACGTACATGTACATAGTTGAGAGGAACATTGAGGTCACCTGAAGCGATCATGAGAACATCGAATATTATTGTTGCAACACGACGCTTTTGTTTTCTGAAGGATGGCGGTACAATCATTGCAGCAGCACATCCGACAAGAACGATAACAATGATATTCAAAATAAAAACTGCATAATGCCATCCTGAAACACCATCATCATAAATCTGCTAGAAGTCCAAGTAGTTAAAGCCACGAGTCAGGATTTGGCAACCAGCAGAAATTCTTTCCAGGATGCGATGGTGGGCTTCCCAAGCACAGAGGGCGCGGACGCGCGACCCAAAAGTGCGCGGCAATGGCGCTAAGGCCTTGCCCAACGCACTGCCAGCGTAATCCACCATGGCATACGTGGTTTCCGCGTTCTCCCGCGTACGACGTACTATCTCGCATTCTTCCACTCCTCGCAGCGCCCGCCGTACTACGGCCGACCTCCTAAGAGAAATTTAGTGTTTTCTATAGTGCTTTTTGCTTTTCTCCTCGCCAATGTTCCTCATTGCACCACTTGCCTAATGTTTCAACAAAATAAAGCACCAATCCAATCCCAACTCGCGCCTTTAAGGACGAAATGCAAGCAAAGTAATGGCGAGCGTTTGCTAACCGCTTGAAGAATAATTGAAGCGAGAGATTGCGACAGTGTGTGTGCAATCGTGGAAGTATGCACCAGTGGAAGCAGTAGTTAGGGGCCTCAGGGAGCGAGTTGTGGCCTTTCGTGGCCAAGCGTGCCAGCTCAGTGCCCTCGGGGGTAGATGATTCTTTCTGACCCCGCCTCTGCCGCCTGTGCTCCGCCCACTAATGTGTTGCTAGCAGCCTCCGTTCTTATCATGAGATGAGATATTCTACTTCGACTGTTGATCCTATAACTCTCCCATGGAATCCGTGATCAAACAAAGCATGATCTTTGCTGGAATGATAGAGGCGATACACGTGCAAACGACCTAGCAAAGAAAGGGGTCCCATTTTGCGCGTTTTTTACGGATTTCTTTGCTTTTCTCACCACTGGGGGGTTTATTCAACATCCCCACTTCTACTATGAACCAACCAATCTTAGCGTAATCCCTCGCTTCAAAGGTACGCATAACTATTAGAGACTGATGGAAACTTCGTGTGGTAAACGTTTAACTGTGAGCTCGATGACAATTACGTGTGGTTGTTACAAGCTGATTTCCAACTGTGAGCTATTTTGTATATCTATTTGTCGTCGCATAGAAAGTCGCAGTCGATTTCCCAAAGAAACTTTCAACTTTGATTTATTTTATGACTTTTTTCTTCGCTGACAGATTCTTTCGCACCTATATTTCCATGTTCAAGGGGAGTGAGATTTTTTGATCGCGCAGCGTAATTTTAAAAAGGAACTTATTACCACCACTATAAAAAATAATGCCAAAATAATTACCAAAAAAGTAAGGCGTTCGAAGAAGCTTCTTGCGGCAGTCTCCTATCAATAGAAAACGGCAGACATCGACCTGAATTTCTGGACTGATATATAAGAGAGAATGCTTGAATTGTACGTATAATTAGAAAAACGAAACTCTATCAAATCAATCAATCTCAAGCTAAAATACACTGCTTTCAGACAATTAATAAATTTCTACAGCATTTAGTATCATGATATTAATATCACGCACAGTTGTTGGTACAACTGTTCACTTCGAATCCGAGTACTATCTGAAAACCATTGTACTCATCTTCATGACCATTCACAGCGACCTCCGAAGGTTGCCTACCCAGCCTCGTCGAGTTCGAGCTACCCCTTCATAGTTTGGACTTTACTCATGTATTTTATCTGGACGCATCCTCCTTTCCTGCACCGCTTGACACGGGTATCATCCCGTAGCATCAGCGATTTGAGCTGAGACCGGCGCAATCGACACTTCGAAACGGGCAAGCGATGATCCGTCGCCGAGGGTGACGGGGGTCTGAGCTGGTTGAAAATAGAATCATGCACAGGCGGTGAATAGAGTTTCGAGAGGTAGTATTCTATTTATTCCACACATGTTTCTTTATCAGAGACTCACTGCAGCAGACGGAGCGTGGGATCTAAGACCATCGATCCTCCATGGGTAGAACATGCGAAGAGTATCCCGGTACAACCAGGGCCAGAAGGGAATCCATGGCTCCAAACTCCATAAGCGTTTGAAGATCAGAGAGGTTACGGTTTTTCCAGGAATAGCAGATTTTGTCTTCTCTTCCTCTTTAGCGTTAATCCCGCACAGCCATAGGCTCCGCTACCTTTGTCAGTGGTCGCCACTTTGCTCTATGCAGGGCATCTTCTACCATGACCGTGTCCTCCTTCAGGCCCTTCTTAGCCCTTCTTAATCACGTCTCTCCACATCTTCGTTGGGGCTCCCCGCCGTCCCCTGCAATGCGCTTCGATTTGCAGGTTAAAAGTCGGAACATTAATACCATAAAACGATCGTCAGGGCGACTGCTGTTCAATGTTCGGATTTTCATGAAGTCTTCCACAGAAATTGAGAAATTTCGTGTCCATTGAACGAGGACAATTTATTAAGGCGCCCTGGCGGTCATCCCGGACGAGCGAAGACGCTGGCGGCGCCCGTTCGATGAATTCGATAGGAAAGGGATTGATTCGGGATTACTGCGAAATGCCAGAAACAACTTAGGAGTGGTGGCCTCAGAGGCAAAGACTAAATCCTTTCAAAACGACCAACAGCTGGAAAATGAGAACTTTGCTATATCCGGATTTTTGAATATGGATGACCTGAACCTGAAGAGAATGAATGCCTCCACTTCGAATAAACACTATAATCACTTTTTTATTGAATTTGTTCGTAACCGGGTTTCCGGTAAATGTGAAGAAACCTTCTCGATCCCATAAAAATTGAGGGGTCTTATTTTGAGATTTGCATCATACAGGACGATGACAAACTCTCGCATCAAAGCGGGGTTGTCAATGCTAACCATAAGGACGCTCACAAATAAACCACTCTGTTTATCTCCTACGACTTCCTCGAAGGCACAACCCCGGAAGTTCGGCAGATCAATCCTTTGGTCGAGTCGCAGAAGCCTCAATCTTCTAGCCGTGGAGTGGCATTTTTCTCGTTCGTAGCATGCTGGCGTCTGTGCTCTCTCAACTTTTGGGCTCTCTCGCCCTCTCCTCTGCTTTATGCTCAGTCTCTCTTTGACCTACTACAAAGTGAGAAAGCCCTTGAGTTTAACAGTCTCGACGGATACTTTTCTTTTGTTTCTTCTGCAAGACCACTTCGCACTAATGCGTTCGTTTTTTTGAACAGAGCCACACCAGCTTAATCCTAGGGCGTGCCTTTGAAGCTCAGATCTCAAGAAATAGCCTTTCCGCTCTGCTGGTGACTGCCAACTTTGAAAGCACTGGGAAGAACGAGTAAAGAGATGATATCACGCACACAGCACGTCCTTTTCCTTTTATTACCACCGGAATGGCGCATTTCACATGGCTTGAATTACCTCACAAGAGCGTTACTGCACTACTTCTGCACTGTATGAACCCTCTTTATATAGAACGTACTCGTAATTTCTGATTATAGTACTATAATGACATAATGACAATGTGACAAAAGTATTTGAAAGGACACTTGAGATTGAATCATGTAAAAGTCGGTCTTGTGTCTGAACTACCTTCTCATAGTAATTGATGAGATCATCACTGAAGATATACCAACACTGTGCAGCTCCTGGACAGTAAAGCCACAATCCCGACTGAACATAGCGGTTAACGTCTGTATCTTCAGCAACCTGTAATACATATGACTTATGAAAACATCGAAAATAAACTATTGAGCTTCCTTTAACACGTTGGCGACCGCGCTATTTTTCGCTGTCTGGCGTGTGGGACCGCGCGCATTATTTTGACCGCGCGAGTGTGACATGACATCATGTCACACGGTCCCACGAGAACTCCTTTTTCTCAGAAAGTGTGGATTTGTAATTTTTCTTGTGCGGTAGGTTTCCGATTATGCGATTAAGTTCATTTTAGCGATTCCTGTGATTTGATCATTATTCAAACAGAAAGAAAACTTTTAGAAAACTCGATAGCCCATCATCCGAAGCTTCTTTCCAGGGACCACACCTTTTGTAACAATGCCTAAGTATGGCGCATACATCACGTGAATAAGTTACCTAAAATGTTTGGAAACCAGCTTTAAAAAGTCTGTGTCATGACATCATGTCACACGGTCCCACATGGCCAAAAGAGTGTGGTATGACATCATACCACACGGTCGTCAACGTGTTAAGGAGGAGTCCACGATAAAAAGGCAGCCCATTAAAATAAGGAAGGGTGGTTCATGATGTACGATAGAGGACAACATCATGACCACGATAAACCAGGACTCGAAAAATGGAGCCCCTTTTTGCCCATCGATTTCCACATTTCAATGGAGCATTCTTGAACGCTAGACTTTCTTTTTCTGCACATGGCTAGAGTCAGACGGCAAGGAGGTTACCGATCGCCAGCGTGAGCGGGTATGACATTTAACCAGGGCCAACCGATACGTTGGACCGATATTGGAGCGACGTTGGACCGATGTTAACCGCTCTCCACGCCGACATTCACTCTCGCCACCCGCGAGACGTCTGTGTCTCCATGCATACGTTCACTCTCGGCATTACTCTCGTCGTCGCGTTAGACTTTGTCCAACGGACGGATGACCCTGCATTCAACCCTTTGGCGACAATAGCACCCACCGGTTGGTGCCACTATGACCGTCGCGTGGGACAATGGCACCCAGTGGTGGGTGCAGCCCTCCAATTTTCTTCTTTACCAATTTGAAACATTTTCAACGTATCAGTAATCATAAGCAAGCTTCGTTACCCTATGTTCAGCATACACTGCGTTGCAAAAATATAAATCCACCTGGAAAGTTCTTGAAAATTCGCATGATGTGTTTCTGGAGAAGCCATCGGAGGAAAAATGTGCTCCTCATAAGTATAATTCCGAGTGTAGACACCAACTTCCATTTCGAGAACACCAAAAAATTTTATTTTTATTTTTCAGAAATGGGCCACTTTATCGATAGTGCAAAAATATAAATCCACCCCATGTTTCTCGGTTGAACTTCATTGTTATTTGGCGTAGCTGTCAGGTTGTTTCTACTTCCTCTTTCTTAGGTGATGACGGAAGTAACACCGCTATCGGACTCCGAAAAAAAGGCGAAATTTGCAAAAGAGTGGGAAGATTTGCCATGCAGACAAACCGCGCGTGATTTGAGCCCTGCGGTTGTTGAGTATTTCGTCAAGGATATTGCAGCATGTGGAATCCAGAAGAGCACTGAACCCTTTTCTTCGCGTTTCGGTTGCGATGAGTGTAGTGTTATGGGAAAAGCAGCCGATTCTGCTCAGGAACTCAACCTTCAAAAAAAAACCCTAATTTCTTGGAAGCCACCCTTTGGCGTGTGTTAGAAGAACTCTGAGGCCACTCTTCGACGAATAATGAGTATGGCTTGAAGGCACAAAGCCATCCCAAAAATGAAGCCAACTCTTCCTTAATGTGTGCAGCCTGTGCCAGCTGCATTAAGTTCGGCTTTCTACATGCTTTTTGGGACGGCTTTGTGCCTTCAACTGTGACATACCTATTTTTCGTCGAGGAGTGGTCTCAAAGTTCTTCTGACACACGCCAAAGGGTGGCTTCCAAGAAATTAGGGTTTTTTTTTGAAGGATGAGTTCCTGAGCACCCCTTGGTAGAATCGGCTGCTTTTCCCATAACACTACGGTCATCGCAACCGAAACGCGAAGAAAAGGGTTCAGTGCTCTTCTGGATTCCACATGCTGCAATATTCTTGACGAAATGCTCAACAACCGCAGGGCTCAAATCACGCGCGGTTTGTCTGCGTGGCAAATCTTCCCACTCTTTTGCAGATTTCGCCTGTTTTCGGAATCCGATAGCGCTGTTGCGTCCGTCATCGTCTATGAAAGAGGAAGTGGAAGCAACCTGACAGTTACGCCAAATAATAATGAAGTTCAACCGAGAAACATGGCATGGATTTATATTTTTGCACAATCGGCAAGGTGGCCCTTTTCTGCAAAATGAAAATGAAAAATTTTCGTGTTTTCGAAATGGAAGTTGGTATTTACACTCGAAATTATATTTATATTGACTTCAGAGGCTTTTTCAGAAACACTCTATCATGCGAATTTTCAAGAACTTTCCAGGTGGATCTATTATATATTTTTGCAAATATGAAATTTTAGGATATGGCACTTCGCTCGGCGTTGTATTAACTAGTGTTTTACATTATTAGGCTTAAGGTGAATTACAGCTCAAGACTTCTACGTCTTTTCACAGTCTCAAGACACAAGGAGGAGTTTGAACTATGTCAAAAATTCTACTGTACACTTGAAATTTAGGGAAATTTTCCAAATACCATCAATTTGGAATCCGATATTTCTTTCCATCCCACTTCTAATTCCAGCAATACATCATCATAAAGCTTAAAGCTGCAGTCGTATTTTGTTTATTGTTATCTTCAAAATTTGATAGAAAAACTGGTTTTAGGGACAATTTTGCCCTATTTTGTGCGAGAGTTGGGCGCGCCAAAAAAAGGCGTGGTCCCACGAGCACGCTACGTGCAAATCGGCATTGTCAGGGCTAGTCCGCTGGGGTACTTTTTCGTTGTATAACGCGCACCGTCTCGCACACTTGTTGTTAGAAGGCCCGCCTGCTCGGCTAAGTATATGCTCCTTCTTCGACCTCCAACCCTCCATTGACCTGCGCTCCAGCAGTAATTGAGAGCATTAGATGCTCCCTCCGTTCTTTTTCTGTTTCATCTTTACAAATAGCACAGTTTTCAGTTCGATAGCTTGATAAGCTCGTCCTGCTCATTAGTCATTGGGGAACATCACAGTACTGCAAAAGTCCGCCTCAACTGAAAAAGATTAAGGGGAAGACTGTAGCCTTAGGAAGTCCTCACTGAAAACCATTCAACGATGCACCGAGAGAACCAAGATTGGCGGAATGACTGAGACATCAGTCGCTGAATCTGATCGTGTCGATTGAAGACCGACTAGCCGGAGGTGCGAAAGACGAAATTCTGTCAGCGCAGCTTCCTTCTCAACAAAATTTGTTCACATCGAAGTTGGTGTTAGGTTAGGGAATAAAGTTCCACTCTTTCTATATGTTGTTTGTTTCTATAATTTTGTGGAAACGTGCAGAGTGTGAGTACGTATGTGGTACAATACCACCTTCAATTTTTGTTCAATCGCTGGAATGTGACACAGCTTTCCTCAACAAGTAGTCCCTTTGCTGCAACTTGTAATAATATAGCCCAAATGATATGGAATTTGTACCATCGTATAGCTCTGATGATGGCGAATCTAACGGGATAGCAAACTTCTGACTTCCATATCTTCAGCTTCATTTTCATTCTCAGCAAGGAACGCTTGAGTCTCTGCTTGCCAGTGGCAACACCTGCGCGCACGACAACATCATGGGCCATCCACTTGGATAAGGAAATTCGCAGCAAGATCTTCAAGACCGGAGATGCCTGCATATTGGAGGAATGCGTGGATTTATGACCACTTTGATTCCAAATGTGGTAGGTTTCCATTGATATTCAGCTAAACACTGAGATTTCATCGTGCATATTTCTCGACGTTCATTAGTTTCCTGCCGTAAATTTCAAGGAGAACTTGCTGGTCTATGCTCATCAATTGAACGTGTTGTCTACTACTATAGTAGTGTTCGAGTTTGCGTTATAGGTTAGTGGTCCGTGCGTTTTCTAGTCTCATGCTTCGGAACACATTTGAAAAGCTCTACAGTATTAGAAATGAATCATCGCCTACGTTGAGTTTGTGAAAAAACGGCTCAGTTGACTACCGGTCTTGAAAATTTCTAGCTATAGCTGCACAAAATGTTTCTAAGTGGGTGGTTGAAACTGATATTCCGAAGTGAATCTGATCTGTTTACTACCACTTTTAACTTTGCAAAATTTGAAATGCTAAATTTGAAACTTGTTGAGACGAGTTCGAAGCGGATGCGTTACCGCACCACTGCAATTAGTATCCGTATATGTATACTTCAATGTAGTAATCGATCACTTTCTTTCTTTTTTCCCCGCCCGTTAACTAATGATGGAGTCAGTACGTTGACCCCTCGCTATCGATCTCTTTTAGCACATTGCTCGTCATTGCCATCTCCTTTTCGAAATATTGCGAGACGATTCGACCTTCTACCGTGTTTCGGGACCCTCGTTTCCTCACAGATCAAAGGTAGGCGACACCACCACGGTACACTACTAAGGACCTACTCACAAAGGAAAGGTAGTGCTCTCCATAAACGTTTCAGTGCCCACTGCCAATGATTGCTATTCCCAGAGTCATTCAGATCCTATACACGAGCCCGAAGGAAACTTGTGAAATTAAAGCTGCATCGAGTAACACCGATAGGGAGCTGCGGAAGATCTATTCGAAGTGCCAGTGTTCCGTAGCGGAGCGCTGGGTCAAAGCTGTACCCCAGAAGATCACCGTCCCTCTCCTAGGGAGAGGGAGCAATGGCGAGGCAAATCAGAATGGTAGAGGATATTGCCCTTATAAAAAATATGCTACTGCAAATGTAAGAGAATTAACAATATTAGTACAATTTTGCACTTAAAATGAATTTGCGAGTTTCAACTCTATTTCGATTCAGGAGCACCAGGCTAGCTTCGTAGAAGGCAACAATTGAAAGACTGGATCAAATTGGAAGAGAGCTTATAAGAAGAAATCCCCAAAGCAAGCCCAAGGTCTGCTTACAAATAACATTAGAGAAACTGTTCCTTATTGGGTAAAGGCAAAGC